GTTGTTGCTTCCCATTCAAACACTCCTTGCACACTCTTGATGGTTTTATCAGCTGCGGCAGACCCACTACCATTTCTTTCTGCTGTAGGGTGTTGAGTCCATTGAAACCCAAATGACCATAACGGCAATGCCATAATTGACCAACATCTTCAGTTATCGTATTGAAGCAAGTTGTCCCAGATGCTAGAGACACTGCTGCAATTTTGAACATGCGATTGGAGGACATCGCAGATTTCATGATAACACCCCTTTCAGGATGATAAACCTTGCAACTGTTATGTTGAATAAGCACAGCCAAACCCTTCTCTTGAAGTTGTCCAACACTTAGCAAATTATTTCTCAAATCAGGCACATAAAAAACTTCAGTTATTACCTGTATTTGATTGTTAATCTGCAGCCGCACATTTCCTTTTCCTTTCACCACCAAGATTGCATTATTCCCTAGCTTCACATTGTCTGCAAATCGCTCATTGAGGTCTGCAAAATATTCTTTTCTATTGCACATATGATTGCTGCAACCAGAGTCTAGAAACCAATCGTCGCTCTGGAGTTGTTCATCTCCAACTTGAGCCATGAGCAACATTTCTTCAGAAATCTCCGTATGATTGCTTTCTTTGCTTTGACATTCCCACTTGAAGTGCCCTAGTTTGTGACAATTGAAGCACTCAACAGTGGATTTGTCGAAGCTTGCCCTTCCTCGTCCTCGACCTCGTCCTCGATAGCCACTATGACCTCTTCCTCGATTAGAAGATTCCCCATAAGTCACCTTCAAAGCTTGTTCCTCTTCCGGGCTAATCATCCTTTGCTCATGCACTAGCAAACTGCTTTGCAATTCATCTATAGACAATTTGCTAGTGTCTTGGGCCTCCTCAATTGAACAGACCACGTAGTTGAATTTCGGAGTCATAGATCGCAATATCTTTTCCACTACTTCTGTGTCACTTTTGTTTTCACCATTAGCCTTCATCTTGTTCGCAATCGTAAGTGTACGTGCGAAATAGTCATTCACAGTCTCGCCATCCTTCATATGGAGTGTCTCAAATTCCTTCCTCAATGCCTGTAATTGAGCTCGCTTAACCCGCGTCGAACCTTGGTACTTCGTCTTCATAGAGTCTCATATGTCCTTGGCGGTGTCCTTCTTGAGAATCGTCTCGAGAATGGAACGATCCAAGGCTTGAAAAAGATAATTCTTTGCTTTCATGTCCTTAAGCTTCTGTTCATCAATTTGACGCTGCTGCGCCTCAGTTGGTGTCGTTCCAGCAGATACAACTGAAATTCCAGTTTCCACCAAGCCCCAATATTTTTTTGAACGTAGAAAATTCTCCATCAACATTGCCCAATGATCATAGTGACCATCGAACCTAGGAATTGCAGGTTGCACAAAAGTATTTTCTGTTGCCATCACTCTCTGTCTGTCTTACAGATTAGCTAGTTGCAGCTATGCTGTATCAGGCCTACGAGAGGCTCTGATACCACAATGTTATAAAAGAAAAATAGCTGATAAAGTATTTGATAAAGAAAGGATAACACACACTTTATTCATGTTCTATACGAAATATATATTGTCAGCCTAAAACCAAATTACTATGTTGATATCCCGCAACTACCCAAAAGATAAGGAAACAGAACTCTAGTAAAACTAGGTGACTTATTCAAAGCTAACAACCTCCAGTATTCTAGTACCAGCTGGAGACTTATTCAAATATATCTAATAAGATAGTGTTGAATTATAATCTGTTTATGCTTAATAAACCAAAACTAATATCTCAGTTTGCTTAATTAGATATGAGATTATGTGATGTATGCAATGCTTAATTGTATAAGGATAATTTGGGGTTAATCTTCGCTTAGTTGGTTAATTTCATAAGGGTTAAGGAAAATTTGGGATTAATCTTCGCTTAGTTGGTTAATTTCATATTGGAACAAGGGCTAAAGCTAATTTGAGATTAATCTTCACTTAGTTGATTAATTTTGGATTAGAATATAATTTGGGATTTATCTTCACTTAATTGGTTAATTTCGAATTAATTTCATGACACTGTATTAGAATCAGAAAATCAGCATTTTTATAATTTGTTTTTGTTCTGTTTCATCTAATATTTTAATTTTGAAAAACTCCCTTTTTTATTACTGTTCTTGATAAGTTTTGTAAGCTTTGATAGAAATTTGTTCTTGATAAGCTTTGATAGAAATTTGTGGTTTTTGGGAGACGTAGTACTACATTTATCTTTTTTGGGAGACGATTTAGGAAAGTTTCATAGTATTACATTTATCTAATTTGACCTAGTACTACATTTATCTGTTTTACTACATTTTAATTTACTACATTTTAATTATTTGATACATTTATCTAGATCAATACTAAACTTAAATTAAACTTAAATTATTCTTATTTCAAATGATTTAAAATTTTTAAATATTTTATTTAGATAAAACAGTTTAAATTATTGATTATGTTTTTAAATATAATATTTTAATTAACAATAAATAAAAATATTAAATACAAAATTATCACAGTAACATTATTAATTAAATAAATATCATAAAAAATAATTAATAATAACTTTAATTAGACTAATGATTAATATTTACGTGAAAATAATCTCACAAAATATTAACTAATAAATAGCCCCTCGTCTATATTAACATATGTAAAAAAATAAAAAAATCAGATTGATATTAACTTAAAAACTCTGATTTATATTACCAAAAAAGTTTTCTTCATGATTATAAACTCGGTCGAACGATGATTGAATAGAAGACTCTTTTAAAAATATAATTAAAAAATATAATTTTTTAACATTATACACATTTAAAACTCTTTAATTTTAAATTTAAATAATGACATTACTAAAATTCAATTTCATTTATTCGAAAATAATTAATGCTCCATAAAAATAAAATATATTCTATAATTCTCTTTTAAAACACAATATTATGACATCCATGCATCACTTAAACTTTGAATTAAAAGTCACATAGAAAAAGAAAAAAAATAAAAAAACAACATCCAAAATCCTACAATTTATCTAAAGTAAATCAGACCAAAGTTCACCCAACAACATCCATAAGAAAAATACAATCATTATCACCTTAAACATAGGTAGGAAAAACAAGGGAAAAAAAAAAGAAAGAAAGATGAATGTGATAATAGTTTAACGTCTCAATTTCTTTCTTGCTCACCGCGTTTTGCGCTTGAGATCCAAGGCAGTTTATCGCTGATGTGAACCGAACCGGTCAGAGTTGTTATTGCATACCTTTAAATATAAAGCCATTAACATTTATATGTAAATATCAGTTCACTAAACACTTGAAGACATTTATCAGCATAATCAGCATAATGTTGATTTATGCACTCAAAATCAGAGAAAGAGGTACTACTTCTATTATTGAGTCAAGGTGCCCTCAACTTCATCTGAGTCTCCTCAATGTCAATGGCAAATCCTTGGCCATGTTGCTTCCAATAGTCAGCCAATGGGCTGATCATCTCTGGCTCAGGAATCTCCAACCTTGAGCTTTTAAGGCTCTCTGAGGAAATATTATACTTTGCATCCCTCTCCAGCACCAGATCTGACCTCACCACACCAGGACTCGCTGCTTGTGGAGACATCATCAGCGCAGGTGCACCCATAGGAAGCCTATCCCCTGCATTTGTAATTTTCACTAACATTCTATCTTCCCATCTCACAATGTTCACCTTCTCAAAGTGCTACTCCTTCCAAACCCCCGCCCTAAAAAGAAGTAATGCTACCCCAATGCTCAAACAATAAGATCACGTGTATCACAGCAAAACGTCATTACACATGAGTCTGAAGCTTAAGGAGCAAATTTCATTATATATGTTTGTACAACGTATAAAAAAATGTTTTATCTTTTGCTTCAGGGTTTAGCTCCAACAAATTTTATTTGAACGAGTAACACTACGTTCAAGATAGTCGTGCATATACTACAAAGTTTATATTAAAAATGTGTAATTTTGATTAACAGAGTTAAAATATTTAGGACCCATCCGAAATTTGATCAGTTTATTTAAATTTAAAATAAATACTTTTGAAAAAAGTATTAAACTAAAACGTATTAGACAACAGAAGCACATATTTGGTGAGATAGCAAGCACACACCGGATCATTATTATATATTATATAACAAATAATCATTCTAAATTATAAAAACTTTAAAATCTATTATATATAGCGAATAATCTGTGAATCGAATGATGAGTATATTTTAATCAAATTCTTAACCAAAATAACTGAAAACACGATCAAATTATTTCCATGTATATACCTCTGTCAACCTGCCACGTACACCAGAATTTGCCGTAAGTTTTGGCAAGGTTTTCGAGCTCCGGCGGCCCAATAATCTCTGGAACTCTAGGATTCACCCAGAGACCCGATTTGATCTGCACCATCCAAATCATCTTTCAAAAATTTTCAACTCTAAAGAAAAAACATTTGCAAGCAAAGCAGAAGCTCAGAATAACACCTCATAAGCATGAGAATGCCAAAGTTTCTGTTCCTCCGGAGGCATAGTTTCAAATATATCGGCAGGAACAATGTACTCCACACCTAGCACACACCCATAACAAAAACATTAAAAATGAAAACAGATATTGAGTTTTGTGAAAGTTGAAAAGAAAAAGAGAGAGAAAAGAATAGAAGACCGAGGAGACGGGCATCGGACTCATCGGAATCGTAGACGGCGCATTGGATGAAGTTTTGGTGGAGTCTGGAACAGTAGTGGTGAGTCTCTATCTGGCGAGACATGTCATGGCTATAGATGGCGAAGGAACACGCATGGTGACTAATCTGCTTTATGGGTTCCAGTGACTGTATCATCATTGCACCCTTGTCGATCAAGTGCTGCCCCACCCCCATCGCTTTACCCGGAGTTGGCTCTGAACCCTTCGCCGGGGTCGGCTCCGGTGACTTGTCGGTAGAGGCCATTGACTGTTGCAAGTTTAACTCAGTCTGCATGTGAATCTCTTCTCATTGTGACTCCTATATAAGCCGAAGACGGAGAACGTGGATTGAGGCTTTGGTTCCACGTGGACATGCAGCGATGTTACGTGGCAGAGTGTAGAGGTTTTGGTTCCACGTGTACATGCAGCGATGATTACGTGGCTGAGTATGGAGGGACTGTGTTGTCATTCATTTTGGTAAGTTTAAGGAATAACTATTGGAAGTAGAAGTCAACAGTTTTACAATTTTTGCATGGACTGCTTCACTAACATCCAAATGATATTCATTTTATTAATTGTTTAATTCTAAAATAAAATATTTATCTCATAGTACAATAATTTAATAAAAAAAATGGTGTATATTTAACTTTTTCTTTCTGCAACGGTAGTCTGAATTCACAAACTCTCTGCTCTTTTCTTTCATTTTGGTTATTTAATATCCATTCATTCATAACTTTTGCGACAGTTTTACATAATATTTTTTAATTTTTTATGACACCATCCACTTTATCTGGTATTCTTTTATCACAGAACTTATCTTACGAGGATTGTTACAACAAGAATGTCACTCTTTTTTATTTAGATAAGAAATGCATTATGTACTCGAGAAACCCTTTTTTTTTTCAAAATTAAAACATTTATAGTGGAATAAGATTAGTTAGATAAAGTATACACACAAAATCTGAAACTTTATTCAAAAGAAATTGTCTCTAATAGGTGTTCTTATAGTCAAGATGAATTTTCACATAACATAATATTTAATCAGAACTATTGTAATTCCAAACCACTTAATAATTTGTCCTTCACCGCGAAAGTATAGATAAAAGAGGGTTTGAGGACCTTAATGTGTAGAAATATTTAAACAGGTCTTATTTAAGGTTAATTAAAACTTGGATTTGAACTAAATGCTTATTTGAATATCGAGTGGTGCTAAACTATATTAATTATGGTTTATCGATTATTTTTTAATTTAATTCATGGAAAAATGCCATATACTAAAATTCTTATAAGGAGTTTTTCTATGTCTGATATATCTAATTAGTCTCATGTATGTACCAGCCAAAAAAAAAAAAGGAAAGTGTTTGTCATGAATATCATAATTTTTATGGTATAGTATTAAGAAAAAGAAACAGAACAGAACTACATAATTGGTCAGCCATGAAGTAAGATTTAAATAAAGAAAAGAAGCCGAGAAAAGCAAAAAAGAAATAGAAATTAACTCTGCCTAAAGGCATAGGGAAATAATTTACAGATCACACATGAATTATGAATGGCCATTCCCTTCAAATTATGATGAAAAGAAACGACTAATTCTCTATTTTATCAGAAAATCCGTATAACAGCCTCTTTTTTCTTCCTCTAATTATTACTTCTTCGAATTGCCAACAGGGGCTGAAGGGTCTTGAGACCTGTACTTGTACCTTCTTGAAACTAACAAATAGATAAAGAAGTTTATCAGGCTCACTATGGAAAGGAACAAGTAAAACAAATTTACATGGTTTCTATTAATATTGTTCCCTGCTAACCAGCCCCCACTCCTTGTGATATGCTTGGTGGCTCCATTCACACTTTTTACCACTATGGTACTAGCAAAATAACCAAGTGCCATAGAGCTCCAAAGGAAGCAGGTTGATGTAGATTTAAGTCCTTTTGGTGCCTCTGAATAGAAAAACTGAAGCAGCCCCACATAAGTAAACATGTCAGCTATGCCAAATATAAAGTACTGAAAAGAGAGCCAAAATGTGCTTATAGGCAATGGCATAGCTATTGGCACAGCATCGAGCATGTTGTTGTCTCTGGCCACTCTTTTTCTTTTCACCTCTACAATTGAAGCCACAGCCATGGAAATGCAAGAGAGTACTAGACCAACTCCTATGCGCTGCAAGTTAGTAACCCCAGTAGGAACACCAGTGACATTGCGCATGACAGGCACAAAAATCCGGTCATAGATAGGAACAATGATGATTAGGAAACAAACTGGGATGATTGGGAGGGATGCAGGTGGGATTTTAAAATGCTTGGTCAAAGTGGTGTCCATGGTGTAGCCTTGTTGGATTGAAAAGGTTTGCAGCTGAGCTAGGCAAAGGGTCATTATAATGGTGCAGCAGAATATTGGGACCATGCCAAGAATAATTTTGGCATTTTCTACTTGGGTGACCCTACAAAGTTTCCACGGGCTTGGTGGTTTATCAGATTCCACACCATCTTTTATTTGGATGGCTGCTCTGTCTAAGAACCTGTGAAAGGGAACTTCAGTTCAGAACCAAATAAATTGAAATTGGAGTGATATTTCATAGAATATTAGCGGAGGTGCATTTTATATTTATGAAAGATCAATCTAACACCTTTTAAACTAATCTATCACTTTTACTACTGAGTTATTATGAGTAATGAGTTATGACCAAGTGAAATACAATTATTTGTGTTAGACACGAGTGGATTTGAACCTGTGAACGTCTCGATGAGGTAGAAACTCTATCTCCTCAGCAGCTTCCTTGTCCTGTTCAATCTCATATAGTTCTGCTGGATCTTCAGGAAGAAGGAGGTTCCTATTGCGGATTGCAGCAACGTAGACCTGGGAAATGCATGAGCAAATATTAAAACAAACAGCTTGGTCAATGCAATAAAATCCTCAGAAACCTGGTTACTTTAAACTTCAAATTATTCAAATAATTTAAAATACAATGCTCGTTTCTCTTATTTACCAAGTCTAAGAGACTTCCTACAAACAAATTAGAATAATCGTTAACCCTCGATACTTAGCAATATATAGTGACAGGAATTGGATTGGTGACAGTCTCTTTAACAAGCACTAGAGTTTATTTTATGAAAAAAAATGTCCTATCAAGCACGAATTATTTTATACCTGTATGATCTCAATGAAAGCATTTGTTCCTTGGCTAACACGAAATCTGTAGAGTGGCAATCCAGCTGCAAAGATAATGATACCCAAAAATATGGCTATGGTGCCAATACCAAAGCCCCATTCCCACCCCTTGTTGATTTGTATCCACACAATGAACGTTAAGCTGACTGCACCACCCATGCAAACAGCCAACAAGAGAGCGTTAAAGAAGGTGGACATTTTCCTTGCTTCATCAGGATCCGTTTCATCAAACTGGTCTGCACCATGTGATGGGAGAGCAGCTTTCACTCCTGCACTGCCAAAAGCCAACAGGTATAGGCCAATGTACAGAAGAGCTTCTTGGCCACCACTCGGTGTGTTGCAGTGAGCAGTTCTATCATAAACGTTGCATAAGGGTGGCTTAAGGTTGGAAAAGTGTGCTTGCACTGTAAGCAATGCAAGTCCCTACAGCCGTGACCATAAATGCATATTAAAAATGGTGATAGATTACTAAGTTAGAAGCCTATCTACATCTGTTTTTACTGTTAATTTACAACAAGAAATGGTTATTTCTTCAAAACTTCGAAAATTTGAAAAAACGTTTGAACTAAATTGTGTTTGGCGAATCACAAGCAAATGTTGTTGTGAATAAAACTAGTTAGACGTTGAAGATATATAATTAGGAGGGATTGGAGCTTACCACAAACTCTAAGACCCCAGAAATTAGAACAGATCTGTATCTGCCAATCCATGTGTCAGCAAGGATTGCCACTGGAATAGCGAGTATGTAACCGGTTCCCATGTAGTTGGTCAGCATGTTAGCTGAATCTGGTATACTATAATGCATCGTCCCGCTGAAGTATGGTACCGAGTTCACTGCTAGTGAAAATGTTCCCATATTCTCGAAACCAATCATAGCTGCACCCAAAATTCAAATAAATTCATATCACGGCACCATCTTAACCACAAAAAAGAAATGGAAAAAAAAATTGCAAAGATAATCCTACCACAAAATCCAGTAAACAATAAAAAATGACTATGATACTTTCTGTATCTATGGTTAGAACAAGTCATCGTCAGAATGTTGTTACTTTTCTAGGAATCTTCAAGGGTATATATGGTGTCTGGACTAGTTTCCATGAATAAACTACTAAACCCTCAGCTTCAAAAGTATTAAAAGAGAAAGTATAAGTAAACCTTCATCATGCTTTTGATTAGAGAAATGACATAATCCACCTTAACATTATTTCAGTTCATCTTTCTTCTCATGCACCAAAAAGGAAAAAGGTTCATAATCTAAACCTTATAGTTAATATTCATTACCTAGTATGAGCACAGCAGCACTCATCCCCCCATATTGGAATTTACGAGCTTTTCTTCCTTTCCAATCCACTTTATTTTCATCAACCAGCAGAAACCCTGCTTCCACTTCCACATCAACAATCGTGGACTCTTCCTGCATGATTGAAAATGAAAAAAGATGTAACGATAGAGCTGAAATGGTAGTAGTACGTACATGAAAGACAAAGAAAAAATATACATACCATGGTTATGCGGAGAACTTTATTTAGTCGATTCTAAAGAAAGAGCAAAACTGGAGTACAATGGCAGTAGGGAAGACCAATCTCTATATACACATTCAATTTTACTATTACATATGAAACAAAATAACAGGTTCTTAATGTATCAAAGATAAATGAAAAAAGACAAGTGAAACACTCGTATACTGCTTGACACCAAGATACCCAAGGAAAATTATTCTTGGACACCTGTTAGCTGGCTACACAATCTTGACAGATAAATATTGACATGTTGATGGTATGGTATGACGTTGAAAAAAATTTAGAAGTATAAATTATTAGTAGAATGTGAACATTCCGAGAATTGTTTATCCATTCCCTCCAAATGTTCCTATATTATCACCTTCTAGTATTTTCCAAATTACATGGTTGTAGGGTAACTGTCCCAACAACCATTTTAACTTTTCCTAGCCTAACGTATATATCTATAATCATAATTATAAATAAAATAATCCTTAATAAGTATTATCTCACAAATTTATATAATCCATGAAATGAGATTTGTGATATGATAGAAAGTGATAGAAAAAAAAAAAAAGAGAAAAATTAGTGTAAAAGAGAATATTGGAGAAATATGTTGTAAAAAAAATATATTTAAAACTTAACGATGAGAGATGGCTGATAAACGGATTTATTTAGACAGAATAGGATGTCTTTGATTGACAGCAAAATGCTTTGGAGACAACATTGCCGATTTTAGAAGCAGAAAATTCCAGTTTGTGTTTAACTCTGTCGGCAAAGAATAAAAAATGGCGGGTCCTACGTTGTTGTAACCAAAGAACACTAATATCTTACGAGTAATAAGTAATAAGTAATAACCGGCACACCCTGATACATAGTTAATGATGTTACGACAATCTCGTTTAGATGGTTTCTAAAAATTTGTAATGGAAACAATCTGAAACTTCTTTGGCATATGCTGATATACCCAACAAACACCTCAAATATGCATCTTTCTTACTGTTACCCCATTTCCTATGTATTCATTTTTCTTTTACTCCACAAGGTAAAATTGACAGATGATGCAGAAGACCCTAGAGAATATTTTCTGGAAGGTATTGGGCTATTAGCATTTAACATTAATTTAAACTTCGTGTGCATAGGTTTACATTTTCCAAAATGTTTTAAATTCACAAGATTAAATGAGAGAGGATAATAATAGATAATGGTCTATCTCTTGTCAGCAACTGGAACACCCTTTAAGAGAGTGTTCAGGTCTTACACAGCTGTAGTAATCTTGAAAATTGAATAACACATAAAAAACTTACAAATGAGACAAAAACAAGTTGTAGCGAACCACGATCCAAAAGTTTTTTATAAGTTTCATCGAGATCTTCGAACAAATGATGTATAAGCTTGACAAAATAGGAAAACAAAGTCAAGAGATTTGTTAGAAACTATATTTTAAAATTTCACATTTATTAGTTATACAAATTTAAAATTATGAAGATATTAGTTATAGGTAAATTTCTAATTATTTATTTTTATCAATTATTTTTCTTAAAGCATATTATGAAAAAAAAAATGTAAGATATGTACAATCAATCTTTTACCATTTTTTTTTCAAAAAAAAAATAAATCACTATTTTTCTCATTGTACCACTTAGAATATATAACACATCCCGTTTGAAAACTAAACCATTTTTTTAATTCAAAGATCAATAAAACACATTTAGAAGAATAAATAATAAAACAAATATAGAAAAACTTATAATTTATACAAAATGGAGAAAATGTATAACTCTTAACTAAAACTCACAAAAAGCTATAACTTTTTTATGACTGTATACATTCACCATAAAATACAATATTATATTAAGCATAAATATAAAAGTAAAAAATATATTATTATTTCTACAATTATCATTATTTCGTAATTATATTTTTTTTATGTAGAAAATAACAAATCTTAAAAATTACTACTAAATCACTCGAACATAACATCAAGAGTATTCAAACGTAATATTAAAAGTACAACATTAAGCCATTCAAATATAAGTCATAGTTAAAAAATAATAGAAAAAAAATCTCTCTAATACAAAAATTTTAAATTAAATTTAAGTTATATAAAATAATTATTTACATAAATAAGTTTATATATAGAGAGAGGTGCAGAGGTTTGGTATTTCATATTTGACATCCACCTTAATATGATAAAATTTTTGTTATTTCATAACACTTATAAAGAAAAAAAGATAATAAGAGAATTCAAACAGGACAAAGTGTAATAAATTTTAGGTTGAAACATTAATGTGAAAAATATTCATCCCTTAAAAAAAAAAAAAAAGTTATGTAGCTCACACTGTGAATTCATGTTGTTTCAAGACACATTCTAATGCCACGATAGGCTCTTGAAATTAGTTTCTTTTATATTGGGCCATAGGCCCACCTTAGAATAAGAAAAAGGCTAGTTACATGTAGGAATCGGCTTTCTTCTTTTTCTCTACAGATAAGTATAAATAAATAAGTGAAAAATAAATGAATAAGAGTTTCTTAAGTTTATATTTTAAACTTTCTTAAGTTTTTTTATTAATTTTTGTTTTTATTATTTACTTTAATAAGTAAACAACTTTGTATCTATACCAAGAAGATTACTATGTGATAGGTTTCATTTGTTATTTATTTATGTATACCATACTCATTTATATCGTTTAATAGGATTTATTATTTTAATTTAATTATCCAAATTTTGTAATTACAAATCCATTAGTTAAAAACAATTTTTTTAATGTTATCTCACCTAATGTGTTGGTTTAGAGATAATGAAGGGAAAAGGAGGGAAAGGGAACATAATCTATTTTCTAATTTTTGTTTCTACCATGTTAGGGAGATTAGAAAGAGAGCTTAAAACATTTGAAGCGTGTAGTTCCTACTTATATTATATATCTAAATATCTTATTAATATTTTATAACTTTTTTATATTTTTATATTATAAATTATTATTTTATAACCAAGTGAACTCCTTAACGGCGAAGGAGTCAGATGAGTAATAATAATAGGGAATCTAGTTGTCAGTCTCCAACACCTAACCTATTTAAATGATTATATTCCGAATCTTATATCCGATACATCACTTCATAGATCACGAATCTTATATCTTATATTTTAACACTTTTTTATAATGTGTATTTATTTAACAATTTAATTATAGTATAATAATAATAATATATTATTATAATAGATTTATAAGTGAGTGTATTTTATAAGAAGATGAGATGATTAATATATTACTATCCTTAATATATTTCTATACATAATAATTCATATTTTTAAATATAATTTTATTAATTTTAAGGATTATATTTATAACTGCAAACCTGCACTGTGTTCTGAAGTGTACAGAATCCAAATCTAATATTTCATATTTATAGATTGGCTCAATGTTCATTGTTACCTTCTTTTCAAATTAAAAAAGATAAATTTTTACTTTCTAATAAACTAAATCAAGAACAAATTTATATAATTCTTTAGGTTAAATAAGTTGAAATTGACACCTCAATAATTCTTTTTAATGTTTTTTATATTAATATTCAATACATATATTAAATTGATTTTCTATCAATAATTTTATTATTCTTAAATTACTGGTACATACATATAATTTTTTTCTTTATTTTAATCTTATCAAAATTAATTAAGTATTTGAAATAAATTTAATTTTTTTAACATATCCAAATATACCTACCATAAATATAAAATTTAAAATAATTTTAAAATATAAAATTTCTTTCTATGTATATATAATCATAAAATAAACTAAAAAGAATATCTAAAATCTTATCTATTTTAGGTCTAGAAGTGTTAAAATCTGACATTTATAATATTTATTTTTGTATAAACACATTATTATTACAAGTTAAAAAAATACAAAAATAAGTTAATGATTAAAAATAAATATTATCAAATTTAAATTTGATATAAGACAGTAAATTCATACATTTTTATATATTTTAATATTATACCAATTTATGATAAAGTTAATATCTCATTGATTTATATCATATATATTCATACATTGTCACATCTCACAAAGACATGAAGGTTTCTAAATAAATAAATAAATATATATATATATATATATATATATATATATATATATATATATATATATATATATATATATATTAGACTTAGAGATGATATATGTACCTGTCAAATTATAATTTCATTAAAGTTCTCAATATTATGAAACTTTCAATGTATATAGATTCTCTTGTAATTAGATAAATTTTTATAATTTATAAAAAATAATTTAACACCATATACTAAGTGATAAAAACTTATTTTTCAATTTCATCACTTAATCCTTTATCTATATATGATTTTAAGGATTAGTAGAATTTATCTTATTAATCTCATACATATAAGAATACTCATTATTATTTATCACAATTCAACACATTAAATTAAAAAAAATCATCTCATTTCAACGTAACTTATAATATGTTTAAATATATCATTTAATAAAATTTCGTATTTAACTTAACATTTTAAATATAAAAATATACAATAATTAGTTTTATTCAATTAAGGAAACACATTTAAAAACCCCTTAAAATTTGGAGGAAAATTTTGTTTTTTAATTTTTTTCAAAAATAACTGAACAAAAATAATAAATATTAAGCAGATTTTAAATTTACTAAGCAAAATTTAAATGATTGAACAAATTATGGAAACACTTTGATCTTCGTTTTTGTCAATTTTTTACTAAGGGAAATGACATTTCATTGAAATATTTTTTACAAAATTAAACCGTTATTAGTATTTCAAATCTTTTGAACAAATATAAAAGTGTTGAGTTTTAAGCATTTTTAACATTGTAATAAATTCATTGAGTGGAATTAAATTTATTGGATAGATGTATGAGAATACTGCATAGTTTATCACCTATCTTATTTTCAAATTTTCATATCAAACTGAATTAAACATTACTTTCCAAGTTGAAAATCAATTTATCAAATTAAAT